TGGTCCCTAATGGAGAAAAGTGGCAAAAAGGTACCATGCATGCAAGGTGATAGGCGCGGAAGTACGCCCACCGTAAGTCGGGGTACACCCATCGTAGAGGAGTAAAATGGACGCGGGTGGTTCATGAGTACGTCGGGCGTACATAGAAGTACGCGAGGTGTACTCCATTCAGACTTAAGCCCTAAATTTTAGGGTGTGACACTATAAAAGGGATAATATTCCTCAATGGTCAGCCTCCATTTTACCCTTAGACAGCCACCACGAATCCCTAACCCTTTTTTGAGTGTTCTTGGAGCTTAGAAGGCCATTGGAGAGCATTTTGGTGTGGTGAATCCATTTTCCAAGCAAATGAAGAGCAAAGCAAGGTGGTGGTTCAAAAGGAGAAGTTGTAGATACGAGATTGTTGTTCCATTTCAGATCATCTTGAGGTATAAATCCTTGAACTTTCCTCAAGTATGCTTAGATCTAGTGTAGTGATGTTTTGGACCTTTTTGGTCCCAAGAATAGAGCTTTATGGTTCAAATCCGATTCCTAGGCTTAGATTTGCCACTCTCAGTGCCAAATGAGTCCCTAAGGCAGAAAGTTGTCATCTTGGATGTCTTAATGGTTTCATGTATGAGTGAAGATCACTTTCATGGAAATAGAATACAATTTTTGGAGTTTGGGCTTAGTTGGGTCATGTAAAGTCACAAAGTCAGTGACTTTATGGATTAAGATGTTGAAGAGGACCTTGATCTATGATTATAGCCTTTGGAATAGAGTATTAAGTGCTTAATAGGAAAAGCGACGTAACAAAGAAGTACGTTGGGCGTACATGCATGTACGCGCAACGTACACACCATGTAGCCTGTACCGCCTAGCGTAAAGAGGAGTACGCCCCGCGTACTCAACAGAAGTGGTCTTTGCATGTTTTGGGCCTCAGATTGGGCCATACATTGGACTTTGGTTCTTTGGGCCTTAATGGGCCATCGGAAATCAGATAATTTGGGCCAAGAATATGTTTGGGCTTAGGGTAAGGCCCATTAGAGGGATTGGACTCAATTTAGCAAATTGGGCCATTAGTGGGCCACTAGTGGGTTTGGGAAGTCTACCTAGTATTGGGCCTTTCATATTATGGTTTTTGGGCCTTAGTTTTGGACCAATTTAGATAAGGGGTAAAATGGTCATTTTACCATAAGAAGGATTGTTGATTTGGACTAATTATTATTTTGGTAATGGTAGCTCGGGGAGTCGAGAGATCAGCAGTTCGGAGATCTGCCAGCAAGCATCAAGAGGTTTATTCGCAGGATTCTACAGTCAGCTTGTGAGGTGAGTTTTCTTCTGTAGGAACGGGTCTAAGGCACCAATGCCGGCCCGTTTATGTATGTTAGTGTATACTGGGTTTAGATCCGATACCGGGGTTAGCCTGATGTAGTTTATATGCTTCCGGATTACAGTCCAATGTCGGGCGAGGCCCAAGGAACGTTTATAGGTATGTTTCCGAACTACGGTTCGATGTCGGCTGGTACCCGAGGAAGGAATGCATGTTTAGTTATACTTGTTGTCTTTGTGATACTTTTATGTGCCTGGTAGGGAGGTGAGTGTGGGCGGGGGCCCGTATCTCATCATTAGATGAGTATGGATGGGGTTCCATATCTCATTATTAGCAGAGTAGGGGCGGGGCCCAAGATAGGTGGGGCCTTGAGACTAACAGTTATAGTGTTGAGTTTGTCTGTTATGTACTAGCATGATTATGAATATATGCTTGTATGTGTATAGCGGGCAGGGCCCAGAGACAGGCGGGACCTAGTAGAAACAGATCTATATACCGAGCGGGGCTCGATGCCAGGTGGGGCATGATGCTAGGCGAGGCCTGATGTCGGATTCGTCCGATGTCGGGCGAGGCCCGAGGTAGCGGGCTAGGCCCAATTTATGTTGGTATGTGCTTATGTTTATGGTATGTGGTAGTTTGGGAAGACTCATTAAGCTTCGTGCTTATAGTTTTCAATTTTGGTTTCAGGTACTTCCGATAGCAAGGGGAAAAGCTCGGGATGACTGCATGACACACACCACAACTTTTAGCCTGGGATATTTTACTCTGATTTATTTGACATGTGATTGATATGGATACACTATTTTGACATATGCCATATTATGGTTTATGTTTCGAATAATGATTTTTAGTAATTCTGGATTAATTAATGAATTTAAAATCGGAATTTTTGGACCGTATTTTTGGGATGTTTCATTGGGGGTATGGACTTAAGGGATTAAGTCCTTTATGAGTTATGTTGTTTGGATGGATATCACGGTGCGACCTACTATCAGCTATGACGTGATTTTAGGAGAATTCATGGGTATTTTGTCGGTTTGTGGTTCTCGACGTGACTAGTCAAGGGTCACGACGTGATTTTAGGAGAATTCTTGGGTACTTTGACCTTGATCGTTCACTTTTGACTTTTTGACCAGTTTGATTTTTGGGTCACACTTGGAGGTTTTAAGCTATACACTAAAGCTTAACTTGTGTTTGGTTATGGACTGGGACCCAAATGCAATAGATTTTATGTTTGAGGGGAAAATAAAAGTACCTGAAATGTGAATGTTATAGCTTTTGTGCAAGAAATATTTAAAGACATAAAATTATCTGATGATGGATCAAAGGATCTGAAATGAAATAAGCTTGGTGAGGTAAAGGAGGATATGATTTCTGCTGAAAGGGCTGACAAGGAGCTGATCGAAAAAGACAAGCTTGGGGAAGAAAAGGAGAAGGTGAATGTTGAGAAGAATCTGAAAAGAAGAAAATCCGAAGAGAATAAGAATTTTTTTGAGAAGAAGATCAGAAAAAGAAAAAGACTTAAGAATCTGAAAAACGAGTATGCTGATAAAAATCTGAAGTCTTTCCAGTTTACTGTACAACCACCCGATCCACCCATTATGCTACATTTGAAGGGATCTGGAGTGAGGAAGAAAAAGAACTGAGCTACAAAGAAGTCTCAACCACACCAGTTGAGAATCTGATTTGGCATAGTCGAGCCAATGACTTTGTAAAATGGCGACTTTCCCGGAGGTAACCCACTTAGTATTAGTTTATTTTTCTACTTTTAATAAAGAGATGACCGCAGTCCCAAACAAGCTTGGGGAAATCAAAGGATCTTCAGAGTTGCTGAAAATCAGATTTTTCGCCAACATCTTCTTCAAAATCAGATTTTCTACAAACTTATCAGGTACACTATTTCCTAGTTGCAACCTGTTGTTTTTATGTATTCTATTAAGTATTTCATTCATCTCTGAGCATTGAGGACAATGCATCATTTTAAGCTTAGGGAGGGGGTCAATGTAATATTTGCGTTTTTTATTAATAATTTTAAAATTTTTAGTATTTTTCAGTTAAAATTTTCAATTTTCTTTTTTTCATTGCATTAAAAATCTGAAAAAGTCCAAAGATATTTTAATTTTTCTGTTTTTCTACATTTAAAAAAAAGATTTTTATTTTATTTTCTGCATATATATAAAAAATTGAAAAAAAAAAAAAATTGAAAAAAGTTACATGATATGATGATATTCTTGCATTTGATAGCTCTATATAAATGGAAAATGAAAGACCAAAGTGACAGGATTAATGGTGGCAAGTGCAATAATACTTCTCATAAGTAGGGGTCGCAAAACACCGTGAGTTGAGACGTTGGATGTAAAGAATAAAAAGAATGACGTACCGAAACACTACATGGGCGGTAATAACAATTTCATAATTATTTGCTTTGGAATATTTAAAAAGAACATTGATCGACACGTCTGGACCCACAAAACATGGCCCTATTTGATTGACGCATGTTACCGTCATGATAACAGATAACCTTATATTAGATCCACATAATCAAAAAGAAAAGAAGGGTATAATTGTCATAATCGAAGAAATATCAAGAAATTCAAAAAGTTGATTAAAGAACTCAAGGTAAAGGCAAAGATACAAAAACTCAACTAGAATAGAAAAGCACGTGGTTTTCTATTTAAGTGAAGTTGAAAAAACAAGAGTCAACAACACTTGTGGTAGGACGAGTCACGTCAAACCAGTAAAAACCGGACGATTTGTAAAAAAAAACTACGTTCAGCTAAACCGGTTAAATGCCTTAAAAATCAGTAAAAACCACCTATTTAACATCTAAAACCGAATTTTTAGAAAAAACTTAACTATTGTGCACAAACAAATTTCTTTTCTTTTAAAGAAATTTGCAACTACCATTTACCACAGTCACCAATGTGGAAGGAGTTGTATTGTTTTTACAAGTTTTTTATAACATTTGACAATTTCTTTTTATAATATCAAAAACTATAAGTATTTATCTTTATCTCCAATGTAGGATACGAGTTGCCAAACATTAACTATTTTCTTTGCAAATTTAACTATAAATATTCTATCATTTCTTATTTTTATTTTTTCTAATACAATAAGGTAAGTTCTATTTTCTTTTCAAGATAAGTCCTTATTTTTTTAATATATAAATAGTAAATAAAATTTAAAAGTTTGGTGGGTTCTAGGACCCATCTTGGTGCTATATAGCTTCCTTCTTGCTTTTTGTGGGATTAGGGAGTGAAGTTTTCACTATGAGATTAGGACATACTAATTTAAAAGGTGTCTCATGCAAAATGGCAAAAACTTGATAAAACGTGTATGAAAATCAACACTCATTTATACATTTTGCATTTGACACTTTCAGTTTCTTTGCGCAAGATGCTATGAAACTGCTTAATAGAGTCTGATGTGTTATGCATAATAATGTTATGACTCGAAGATCTATAAATATTATTTATAAAAGAATTAGTTTTGCCATTTAAATGAGATAATAGTGAAACTTATTACTCGTTTACCTGCTCCTACGTTTATATAAACTTTTATGAGAATGAATTTGTTTGTGGGTTTTCGTGTAAAAACTAAAAACAATATATAGAAAAATATGTGATTATATACGTGAAATCCTATAAACTATTATGTACATGGGAATATCAATGAAAATAAAGTGTGCATGCATTATGCCTACCTATGTAAAGTGATATGATCTAGTTTAAGCATATTTTCGAGTTTGTCGATCCGAACCAAATACTCATAATAATTAGTGGTCAACAAAAATGAGATGTCACATTTAAAAAGGATTTAAAAAGGAGAAAGAAAAAAAAAAGAATAATAACACCTCGTAAAGGGAATTTTGATTTTTAATCTAATAAGAAAGTTCCCTCCTTTTTCTTTATTTTTGTGATTTCAAGAAAAGTAAACTTTTGCCGGTCTACTGTCTCCATCTTGCAGCAGCTAACAAACCTCATCGCCATTTGCAGATATCACAGCAAATCAGCATTCATCTTCTCATTCCCCTCCATGGTCATCTTCATCAACTACTGCTCTGTCCCAAATCATCTCTGTGTGTTTCACTGTGTGTGAGAGATGCAACGAGAGTGGGCAGACAGAGGAGAGAGAAAGAGAAAAACACCCATCAAGATTCACTTCAATTCAAAAACATTAAATTAAATTTGAGATCTCGCTATCTGTCTCCATTAGGATACATACAACTCTCAACTCGGATTTCCTTAAAAGAAATCTCATGTTTTGTTTATTGTAGACATACAAAGAAGAAAGCGAAGTATGAAAATCCTTCTTGGTTTTTTGTTTGTTTTAGTTTTGGATTTTGAAATTAGCTCAACTGATGCCAGACCCGAAGCTTCATTTCCCTTTTCTGCGATTTCTGTTCCTGAATCCTCACCTGCTGCGCCTCCCATTCCTTCAATTCCAGCATCAATGGCCGACTTCACTTCAGGTATATATCCCCTTCCATCATTCACATCCGGGTTATTGCTATCTACCTCTAACATCTTTACTTTCATCCGAATCAGGAACTGAAATCGATATCACGAAGCACCAACACAGTTCAAGTCGAAAGGTTCTTATTGGGCTTATCACAGCTTCGTCTGTGATGGCAATCATCATAGTGTCCATCATGTGTTTGTGGATATGCCACAGAAAGAATATACACAAATCAGGCAAAATCGGTACCAAAAAATTAGGTAAGACGATGTAAAACTTAATAGGTTTTGAAAAATTCTACAGATTCTAAACAGATTTGTGGTTTTAATTTGAAGATTCTTTGAGAGGGCTTCCATTGAGTTCATTCGTTAGCAGAACTAACGGTGTTTTCAAAACCAAAATCGAAAAGGGATCGGTGGTTGTTATGGATTATAACGTGTTAGAATCAGCAACAAATAACTTCGGTGAAAGCGAGATATTAGGCGTAGGTGGATTTGGATGCGTGTATAAAGCTCGACTCGATGATAATTTGCATGTAGCTGTTAAAAGATTAGATGGTATTAGTCAAGACGCCATTAAAGAATTCCAGGTTAATTATCATTATCTTAAAGATTCAGACTTTAATTAATCTTTTAATTCTTGCAATTTTGTGATTAGGGTTTTCTTTTTTGCAGACGGAGGTGGATCTATTGAGTAAAATTCATCATTCGAATATAATCACCTTATTGGGATATTGTGTTCATGATGAAACCAAGCTTCTTGTTTATGAACTGATGCATAATGGATCTTTAGAAAATCAATTACATGGTGAGCCATTTTTTTAAAACCTTTTCAGAATACCTAAAATACCCTTTAAAGCTCAGGAGCAAAATCAATATGATTAGGTTGTTTTGGTTTTTACTTTTTAGTTATGAGTCTAACACAAGTACACAACATCTTGAAAGCCGACATAAATTGATATGATTATAGTTTGAAACATAGTAAAGGGTAAATATGTCTTTTTTTAGCTATTGATTAGTTTGTAGTGATGGTTAAAGCTTAAAGGGGTAGATGGGTCATATGCTTGAAAAGGAGATATGTAGCAATCTATACGAAAATCCCAAATATGGAAAGTGTGTTAATTTTTTGATGAGATTGTTGGAGTATTTTATTGTTTTATTTATTTACAAAAATAAAAATAAGATTGGATAACAAGAATTAAATTATGTGTCCATACACAGGGCCTTCCAGTGGATCCAATTTAACATGGCATTGCAGGATGAAGATTGCTCTAGATACAGCAAGGTGGGACTTGTGGATAAATAATTAATTTAATAATGAGATGAATTTTTTATTATTATATTTTTTAAAATATTTGTAATTATTTGAGCACAGGGGATTAGAATATTTGCATGAGAACTGCAAACCATCGGTGATTCATAGAGATCTGAAATCATCTAATATCCTTCTGGATTCCAGCTTCAATGCTAAGGTACTTTTTTAAACATCAAATAATTTTATTTATTTATTATAAAATTTACACAAACTTTCTTTCTGTCAGAATCATAATAATAATGCATCTCCCACCTACTTTGAAAGTCTTAGGTAGGCTATATGACTTGCATTCATAGTGGGACCTATCACCTATACCTTTCCAAAAATAAATCAATTTCTAAAATATATTAAAAATAATCAATTTTGTGTTGTAAATCACAAAGAAGAAGATATACTGAAATTTTGTTACAATTGTTATGTTTTGTAAAGCTTTCAGATTTTGGTCTTGCTATAATGGATGGGGCCCAGAACAAAAACAACATTAAGCTTTCAGGGACATTGGGTTATGTAGCTCCTGAGTATCTTTTAGATGGTATGTATACATTCATTGATTTGTTTATTACTTTATTACACTTATTGGGTGTTTTTTAATTATTATTTCAAGGTATGATGTTATTTAAATGTACAATGCTATAATTGGGTAGATTTTTCATAGGATAAAACTTGAATAAGAAAAAAAAAACTGCAATATATAAATAATTGAAAGTATGTTGCTATTTCTAGGATTAAAATCCAACTTTTTTGTGCTATTTAATGATGGTCAATTACAAGTATAGAATTTTGATGGAAAAATTGAATGTTGATAAAAGGATGTTTTAATGCTTTCCATTTGTGTGTACAGGAAAATTGACTGATAAAAGTGACGTTTATGCATTTGGAGTTGTACTTTTAGAGCTTTTACTTGGAAGGCGACCTGTAGAAAAATTAGCAGAATCTCAATGCCAATCTATTGTCACTTGGGTAGAACTTACACTTTTTTTTTGAACATTTGATTATTTGATTTTTATTCGGTGTTTTGAAACCAAAATTGTAAATTTCAGGCAATGCCACAGTTAACAGACAGATCAAAGCTTCCGAATATTGTAGATCCCGTGATCAGATACACAATGGATCTCAAGCACCTGTACCAAGTACGTAAATATGATTAGAAAAACTAAGTTTAAATAAGCATCTGATTTTTGAATAAACAGTTTATAAGATTATAAATGTTTGAATGATTTAACACATTTTTCTTTCAATTTTATGTGCATTACATGCTATAAAAAAGAATGACGGGCTAAATGCATTAAATAGCAACGTACTTTTTTTTTTTTATTTATATATTATCATTTTCTTTTTGATAAGTCAAATTTTGAAAAACCTAGCCAATTTTAGCATTGTAATTTACTAATTTTAATTCAATTATAGCAGTGAAATTACTTTGTATTTGAATATGGCCATTCCTATAAGTAGGTGGATTTTTTCAAAGTACAAAGTGTTAACATGAATAAATGGAAAAATACATGGAAGTAGTAACGTAGATTCATTTATTTGTATGTTATAGCATCTTCCTTTCATTTCTTTCTATTACAACATGGTTCTTTCAAATTTTTGTAATAATGTATTTTATGTGGAGAAAACTCTACCCAATTATATCATTCGACTTTCACTTTCTTTGTATCTAGGACATCATACTTTGAAAACTACCAAATTATAGTAGTGAATCCTATTCGTATTAAGATTACATTGTTATAATTACTTAGTTTATAATAAATTTAAAATCACTTAATCTACATTGCTCTTTCTTGCATTTAATCCTTGAATGAAACTTAGGTTGAAATTGCCTCATTTGTTATAAATCAATAAAAAAGACAAATCTATGATATACATACAATATCTGGGTTTGTTATTGATAGAGTGAATAAATCTGTTATAATAGCAAATGAATGGAAGTACATTGCTATTTTTTTGTTATCTGTAGGTTGCTGCGGTGGCTGTGCTATGTGTACAACCGGAACCAAGCTACCGGCCATTAATAACCGACGTCTTGCATTCTCTGATCCCTCTTGTCCCCGTTGAGCTTGGAGGGACTCTAAGACTTACACAAACAAGGCCTTCGGTATCAGTCGAACCATGATTTCCTCATCTACCTATTTGTTTAGGTTTTCTTTTTTATTTTTATTTTGTGGGTTTTGTTTTTAAAGATGAAAAAGAGAAGAAAAGGGCAAAGTGAGGGTGTTTATTAGAATATTTATTTATTTGGGGGGTAGATGGGTAAAAAGATGTATTTGGNNNGGGGTGGGAATGGATATGTAAACTTGAAAAGGGGATCCATATGTAAATGAGAGGGGGGGAGGTGTTATTGGTTTTGGAGTCATTGTATGGGTATGATTTGTTTTTGGTTGTAAATTATACTTTTTGTGAAACTTAAAGAAATTAGACTCCACGTCCACTTTATAAAAATGGATGAATTATGATATAACATGTTTATATAGGCTTGCCTTTTTTTTTTTTTTTTTAATGTGAAATAGGATATGATAGAATATTGGATTAGGCTACTTTCTTGGGTTATTGTTTCTATTTTGTGGATTATGTTTTTAACATGACAGAATAAAGTGGCAAAATGATGGTGTTTATATAAAAAGTTGTTTAAATGGGGTGTAGACGTGTAAAAAGTTGGATCTTATGGGGTTAAAATGGATATGTACACTTGAAAAGGAAATCCAAATAAATGAGAGGGGGAGGTCTTATCAAGATTCTAAATATGATACACTTACTTCACCGCAATGTTAAATCTTAAGTTTATGTTAAATCTTAAGTTTGTATGAGTCGTGACGAGCTACGTCGTTCGTAAAACGTGAATTAAGGCGTCAATTATATATATATATATATATATATATATATATATATATATATATATAGAACTTAAATCGACAATTTGTTAAAGCTTCACGGCAAGTGCAAGCTTGGAACAATAGCGCACAATGACGGATTTTTTAGAACCTTGAGCCGTGTATTTTTATTGGTTTTGTAGTTATTGTATGGTTTATGCTTTTTTTTTTTTAAATTATATTTTTTGTGAAATATAAAAGAGTAAATAACAAAATGTAGTTTGAGTCAAATATATTTTGTTGCAAAGTCAGTTTAAAATTGAAACTTCCATATAAAATTGGTCTCTCGAAAATTTGAATGCATTTGAAAAAACTATTTTGCCATTCTTATTTTTTCCATTTTCTTTTATTTACTAAATATTTTTATAATTACAAAAATGAAAAAAAAAGCAAAAAAACCCTTAATAAGCTACCCTAACCAAGGTTCTAAAGAACGTGAGGCGTGACTTGGCGGCAAGGTAAAAGTTAAGTCATGACAAGCCTTAGCGAGCCATGACGTTTTTCAAGGCGTGACTATTTTATATATATTAAAAGAGATAAATCATATAATTATTGATTTTTATCAAGTATATCAAGTTTTTAGAAGTGTTATATTAGTATTTAATATAAAAAGTTAACAAAAACTCAATTATTTTAGACTCGATAAAAAAATTCAAAAAAAAAAAAAAACAAAAAATACTCGCGCCTTGAAAAAAACTCGATAAGGCGCGCCTTGCCACGTTATTTGGGCGCCACGCTTAACAAACCCGCCTTGGACGTTTTCGTAACGGCTACACCACGCCTCGCGCCATGGTACGCCTTGAGGCGCGCCATGACGCGTTTTTTAGAACCATGACCCTAACCATCATTTTCTCTTTTAATATACCAAAACAATCTTCTGTCTCTTTTTTTTCCCCTGCTGCCTCCGCTAGGAATATCTTCTCTTTTAATCACCATCTTCTATATTGTTTTCCGCAATCCCCTTTTCGCCGGACTACCACCTTCACGCCATCTATTCGTCTCCACCTTTACCAGAGCTTCCTTCATGTCGCTAGAACCTAGGCTGGCTTGGGGTTTCTGGTCCGAGGCTAGGGTTTCCATATCGAAGTCGTCGTTGATACAATCCTCTCTCTATTTCTTTCTCCGACAAAGTCGATCTAGCTTTCTTGATCCGTGAGAGGGTCGAACCTGAACATGGAAATCCCTAAACCTAGCGCTTATATCATCCGATCGACTAGGGTTTTTAGGCCACCAAAATCCTAGATGTATCCGTTTTTCATATATTTGAGGGAGAGAGAAGTGGCATATTCATTTTCATATGTGTTTATTTGTGTTATCCGATGGCGGTGGCTCTGTTCGCGATGGTGGCAGCTTCATCTAGTATATGCCTCCTAAAAATGGGTTTGATGAAAATCGATTTGTTGTAGATGGTGATGGTTTTTGGAAAGAGGGAGGTGGGGGTGTGTGGTATCTTTTTTTTTGCTGGACGAACATATGGTGTGAAGATGGTTGCTAACGGTGGTGGTGCTGCAACAGGAAATAGTAGAGAAAGAGAGAGAAGATGGTGTTAAGAAAACCAGGAGAGAAAAATAATATTTTCAAGTGCATTCAAATTTTTGAGGGACCGATTCTATATGAAAGTTTCAATTTTAGATTGACCACGTGACAATTTTTTTTTAAACTCAAACTGTACTTTTTTGTAAACGATAGAGACCAATTATGCTATTTACTCAACATAAAAAAAATGGACTCCACTCCCCATCTATAAAAAGTGGATGAATTATGACATAGCATAAAATGTTGTATCATGATCCATCAACATATTAAATAGACTAATACGATATATCTGATGTAGAAGTATGCTTATCATTTTTATTGAAAAATCAAAAAACATGGGTTTCCCTGTCATCGACCATGTACTCATTACTTCTTGCATTGTTATTGCTATCTTATTAGGTTCAACCCACAGACCATTTCGAGCAACGGTCAAAATTTATTTCTATCCCATAAATAATATGACTTCTTAGCAAAGACCTACTCCATAACGTGGAGGATGCATAAGTAAATGATAATCTAATCGAATGCCTCTTTGAAAGGAAAGAGTTATTTTATAGGCTTGGCTTGCTATGTAACATAAAATATGAAAGAATATTGGATTAGGCTATTTTCTTGGGTTTATTGTTTATGTTTTGTGGATTTTCTTTTTAACATACAAAGATAAGAAAGTGACAAAATGATGGTGTTTATATAAAACTTTGTTTAAATGGAGTGTAGATGGGTAAACAAATTGTATTTGGTGGGGGATATAAAAGGATATGTAAACTTGGAAAAGATTCCAAATGTAAATGAGAGATGGGGCTTATGATTTGTTTACGGAGTCATTATATTGTATGGTTATACTTTGTGTTTGGTTTAAGTTATATTTGTGAACCACAAAAAGAAAATGGACTCTACTTTCAATTTATAAAAGCGGATGTTTAAAAAGTTATATTTAGTGAGGGTGGAAAATGAGATATAAACTTGAAAAAGGACTCTAAATGTAAATGAGAGATGGGAGTTTTACTTGTTTTCGCGAGACTAGAGTCATTGTTTTATTTTGTTAAAAATATTTTTATGTATAGTATCTTTTTTTGTGAAACATAAAGAAAATGTTAGACTCCACTCTTACTCTATAAAGTGAAATGGTTATCTTGATAAAATATGGTATTGTATTTGTCTTGAAACCGATAATGTGGCTTGAAATGACATTGATGTTAATGAGGTAAAATTTGTGTTTTTTTTTGCTCCACCAAAAAAGGCTTAACAAAGTGGGAGTGTGAGAAATAGACTTGCTCTAAATCTTTATATGTCCAAAAATTATGAATACCATTGATCAAGAGGATTTGGTATAAACCATTTATGTAATTAAATGTTAGGCATCTTACTAAATGGAATTTTTATATTTAAAGTGTAAGATTTTTAATCTTGTAGCTCGTTATGTAATCATTACAATCGATTTTATTCCATCTTACATGCATGGAATGCTCGAACCGTTTCAATAGTTTCTGCTTTGCTTTCTAAAACATGTTCTTCAGATCAGAGAGCACTTATATGCATCATACTTCTCT